GATAGATAGATAGATTGATAGATTGATAGATTGATAGATTGATAGATTGATTGATTCCTTGTTTTTATGTGAAAACATTCCTGGCATGTTGGTGGACAATAACAAAAGATTTGTAATAATTTTCTTTTGTTGGTACAACCAACTTCATGCCTTTGTTGTCAGAGCCTCATGAGATTGGCCACAAACTGTTTTGATGTGCAATCTTCAGAGAGCTTCTTCTTGCTCTACTGCGGTGAGAGAAGTGTTCTCTTGACTCTGAAGTATGTAAAGTGGATTTCACTTGGCTTGTAGCATCACAGTTCAAACAAAGTCCTGTCTGATAGCCCAGTACTAGTGGATTTTCCAATCTGGCTAGGGGATTCTGTCTCTCACTGTCTGTTTTAAGGAAATTCAAATTACAGGCTATAAGAGGTGAACTTTTGTGGGGTTGGTGAGAACAATTTTCAGACTAGTGCATCATAGTCAGCAAGGGTGGATCTAGGGCAGGGTGCAGGGGGTGCGCACCCCTCTCCCCTGAGATCAGGCCTTCTTCATATTCGCTTTTAAAATTTGTTTACCTCACCAGTCAGTTATGCCATTCCTTAGTGGTAAACCTCCTCGTAAGAAAAATCCTGGATCCGTCCCTGGTCAAGGAATTCGCCTTAAAAATTTGTTTTCTTTGGTATGCTGTAGATTCTAGTGCACTTCAAGACTTCTGAACATGCCTGTGTGGGCCACATAAGTTCAGGACAGTCATAACATGCTAAATAATTGGGCAATGATGGATTTTCTTTGTTTGATTGTTTGTTTATTTTTGTTTTTTTTAGGTGTCAAAGCTTCAGAACTTACAGTTGATAATATAAAGGACTATGATGAAGATGTTGGCTGCCCAATCTGCAGAAGAAACATCACATTCAACTATAAAGTAACTTAAGATGCACTTGGCACCTTAATTTTCATTACCCAAAATTATACTGTGCCTTTATAAGTTATTTACTTTGCTCAGCAAATGTTTTGATAGCTTATAGACTGTCAATACATTGAATAGAGAAAATTAAGAAGATGTTGAGCAATACCGTCAACTTTGTCAAATTAATTTACTCATTAAAGCCAGCTGTCTGGTAGCCAAAAGCTCATAATCTCACACATTTTGAACAAGGGAACGGTTGCAACAGCAGATTTGCATGTTGCTGTCATTTGACTAGAACTACCAGAATTCCTTTCGTCTTTTCTTTATTATTTAAATTTTAGAGTCCCAGTGGGGTTTAAATAACAACTGCTCTAATTAGCGTAACAAACAAAAAGAGTGAAGGATTCTGGTAGTTGTAGTCAAATGATACCATCATGCAAATCACTTATTTGTCGCTTTTAACTCTGAATAATTACCCACCAATTTTAGCTTCATCTATGTTAATGTAGTGTCCCCTTGGTTCCTTATTTCCCTACACAAGTTACACTGAACCAAAGCGAGATACATCACAATACTCCATACACGCTACTTGTCAATAATTATGGAGTTGAACATACTTATTTTGCACTCTCTACTGGTGAGTTGCATTCACATGTATCCAAACTCCTCCTCTCGCTTTGGCATCTCTAGACCTACTATACCTTGCACAGGGTTGCCTAAAGTACAGTAACCAGCCACAAGCAAAAATTATCTTCTACTTCAGGGTCTTGGCCAGCTACTCTGCTTAGAGATTGAATCATCTTTAACAGTTATTCTTTGGAAAAATATGGCAAAAATCACCTGCCTACTCCAACAATATAGAAGCAGCTTCATTGAAACTCTATGGCAACCTTGCATGCCTTTTTGAAGGTTGGATCCCAGATGTCGCTCAGATGGGAGTAATGTAC